TCATGAAACGTCTGCAAGAAAGCCACCAAGGGCCCCACAATCCTCCTCCTCTCTGCAAACCTCCCTCCCTTCTAGCACTGATGATGTTACCTACACTGATGATGTTACCTAGTTGGGTCATGAAACATCTGCAAGAAAGCCACCAAACCTCAGAAAGCAAGAAAGACCCCACAGTTCAATCCTAAACTACAAATATTCCCTTCTATTGGTGTTAGAAATTCTGCACAAACTCTACTCTTACTCAAGAAAAGCCAAACCATGGTGCCTAATGCAACGAGAAGGAACGAATAAATAGGATACAATAAAAAGAAAACAGGGTGACATCTCACCAACTTCCCTCGCTCTCAAGTAAACTTAGAATCTCTGCCCATCGGGGCTTGTTCAGTAATTTCACGCTACAGCTCCCAAAAATGTAAAAGGAGGGGTGGGGGGTGGGGGGGCTTGGTGCAAAGCCGCCACTTCCCAAAATGTCAGTTGTTTGTGAATAAACCTGGCTGAGCCCAAAATTGCTTTTAATGTCAGAGCTCGCTGTCTGCCAGCACTGGGGTCCTTAAAAGCTCTCATCAGAATTTCCATGAGAAACTGCTGTGTTTTGAAGGCCAGGTTTGTGGGTTAAAAACCTGGATAACCAGCTCACAGCGTAGATGTGGGCCATTGCCTAAAGCTGCCAAAAGTAATGATGGCTGAGATTGTAGCTTAAAAGCAAGAAAAGTGCGTTGGACACTTCGAACTCAGAATCTCTTCAAAATTAAGCGGCCAGATACGCTTTCCTTCCATGATCGAGTCCACCCAATGATCGGAGCATTGAGATCTTCTCTGCACCCCTCAGGGCAAATTCTAAATGGCCTGTGCTAGCTGAAGCTTTGGAAAAAAAATCTTCTTTTAAATTGTGCAAAAAGAGAACATGCCTACCTTGTTTCTCCAACAATACGGCCTCCCCCAATAGGAAGTCCCAGCCTGTTTTATAGGCATGAAATGAAATTAAGCCCCTCCCCCCAAATTAAGGCCTATATTAAAACATGCGAAATGGGGGGGGAAATGCCGGGGGGGGGGGCTTGCCGTTAGGAAGTACTTTTGTTGCACACCCGGATATGGTGCTGCCTGCGTTGACCCCGATACGAAGTGCCCCACCAACGCTGAGGTCAACAGCCAAGCCGTCGCCGCCCGCCTGCCCGAAGATGCGGGGGGGGGAAATTAAGTCACCCCCGAAAAGACGGCCTAGCCATTTTTTCGGGGCTCAAAAAAAAAAAAAAAAAAAAGACCCGGCCTTATTATATGAGAAACACGGCAGTATGATTTGATTGCTTATTTGTACCCTGTGACCATCATTAGGTGTTGTACCTTATGATTCTTGACTCTTGACGAATGTATCTTTTCTTATATGTATACTGAGAGCATTTGCACCAAGACAAATTCCTTGTGTGTCCAATCACACTTGCCAATAAAGAATTCTTTCTTTCTTTCTTTCTTTCTTTCTTTCTTTCTTTCTTTCTTTCTTTCTTTCTTTCTTTCTTTCTTTCTTTTTCTTTCTCTCTCTCTCTCTCTCTCTCTTTCTTTCCTTCCTTCCTTCCTTCCCTTCCTTTTCTATCTATCTACCTACCTACCTACCTATCCTTTGAAAGGCAGGCTGGGATGGGATGGGGAAAACCATCCTTTGATTAAAAGTGCTATTTTAAGTCCAATTCCTGGTTTATATAAATGGAAATAAGGCGATTCTTACAGCCCTGCAAACCTTTAGAACAGGGGTCTCCAATCTTGGCAATTTTAAGACTTGTGAACTTCAACTCCCAGAATTCCTCCGCCAGCAAAGAGAGAGTAAAGCTGGCTGAGGAACTCTGGGAACTGAAGTCCACAAGTGTTAAAGTTGTCAAGGTTGGAGACCCCTGCTTTAGAAGATAGTGTATTGTGGTTTGTGTAAACATGGCTTAGTTACCTGTTCACTGTGTGGGTTGACTGAAAGGAGACGGGGCCAGAATACAGGTAGTCCTCGACTTACAACAGTTCATTTGGTGACAGTTCAAAGCTATAACGGCCGGAGAAAAGGGGCTTATTATCACCGTTTTCCATGCTTCCAACTGTTGCGGCATCCCCAGGGTCGTGGGATCAAAATTTGACTGCTTGGCAACTGACTCGTGTTTATGACAGTCGCAGAGTCCCAGGTTCACACGATCCCCTTTTGGTGACCTTCTGACAAGCAAAGTCAATGGGGAAGCCAGGTTCACTTCACAAACCTGTGACTGACTTAACAACTGCACTGATTCACTTAACAACTGGGGCAAGAAAAGTCATAAAATGGGGCTGTGTATCGGCTGGTGAGAATTTTTTTTCTATTTTATTCGGGACTTAAGGACACTCTAAAATGAGAAGAATCCTGTAAGACTTTGGACAAACACTGATAAAATTGACTTAGCGTGGTATGATCTTACGATTCGTTGCATAATAAATTAAGTAAATTATAGTTATCTCATTAAAGTATGAATTAATAAAATTATAGTTAAATGATTTCTCAGTAATGATGCTAGGTTATACAATTGTTGATTAATAATAAGAGTTATTATGTAATATAACTATATTAGCGTTTAGGAAACGGACGCACAAAAAAAAGTGGTAAACCAACTGATACACTGTAAATTTATGAAGAAGGATGATGTTTTTATGTTTTATATTGTATGTTTTATGTGGTTTTGTTTGTTGTTAAAATAAAAAACTTTTTTTAAAAAAAGTCATAAAATGGGGCTAAATTTACTGAACAAATGTTTCACTTAGCAACAGAAATTTGGGGGCTACCAAAACGGAGGGCTACCTGTCGTGGAGGGCTACCTGTCGTGTATTATACAGCAACCTAGTATATGGGTCGAGTCCTCTGTTTGTGGTTCCAAACACTTCCTAGTTGTGTAGGACTACAACTGCGCTTATTTCCAACCCAGGAAATCTGTCTGCAGGGGAAGCCAATTTAGTCGCACACATCCACCAGCGGTTCTCCGAGAGCAGAGTTTGCCAACTTCGAAGATGCGTGGACTTCAATTCCCAGAATTCCCCAGCCAAACGCTATTTCCTTATCGCTTACGCCAACCGTTTCTTGCTCGGTCTCCTGAACGACTCGGAGTAGCTGTGCTCCACCTTCGATATTTCAGATATTTCAGATATTTGAAGACAGCTGTCATGCCTTGTATCGTCTTCAATTGGGCTTCCCTAAAGCATTCTTTCTTTCCAGGTGCTTTATCATTTTGGGCTGTTCTTGCCTGGACATTCTCCAGTTTGTCAATGTTTTTTTCCCCCTGAAAATGCGATGCACAAAGCCTGGCGCGACAGTCTAGGTGTGCTCAAATCAACATGCTACAGAGAGGCATAATCACTTCTCTTGATTCTGACATGAGGCATTTCTTGATGCGAGCCTCTTAGGCTAAAAGGCTAGTAGAGGAAGATACTTGAAAGTATCCTCAACATATAACCACGATGGAGCCCGCCCGTTGTGGTTGTTAATCTGTGACGGTTGTAAATCAGGTCACCCACGTGATCGACCTGATTTTAGGAGGGTTTTTTTCCCCCCCGGTGGCCATTAAATGAATCCTGCAATTATTAAGCAAACTACTGGTTTGCTATGGGCTGCTTTTTTTGCCAAAAATCAAAAGTAAATGTTGGGTTTGGGCCAAACCATCATGAAATGTGGTCATTTGTCCCTGGGAAGCTGCAAATGGCAGTAAATGCAAGTCAGTTATTGAGCCGCTGACATGCGAGTTGCATGAGAGCGCTGTGTGTGAGAGAGAGAGGGGGGGGGGGGGGGGGGAAGGGTGAGGGTGAGGGAGAGATTGATTGATTTCCAGATTGGAAAGGACCGTCGGAACTTTGAACAGTTGTAAGCAACCCGTCGTAAGTCTAGGATGACCTATATCTTCCCAATGTTCCACAAGCCATACCAATTCATTCCAGAGCACGGGCAGCACACTAAATATCTAGACTTCTGGAAATACATTTTAGAAAATAGACTACTGTTGGGGTGCACGGCATTTTGAATCTAAACTATCGCAGATTCCATCTTGGGCTCCCCAAATGACTGAAACAGGCCGTTTTGCATTTCTTTCAGGGCCCAAAAACAGAATATTTGAATCCAGTTCAATTATGAAATATTTTGCATATCTCAAAACTGTAGCCGTGATTCGGCCGGTATGAGGTAGAGGTTGGGGTGTTAAAATAGAGGTTGAGATGCCCAAAATTTGAATTTTCCCTCTTTCTCTTGTCTGTTTCAAAGTGTTTATGTGGGAGGGGGAGGGAGAGAAAAAGACAGAATCACGTGGACTGTTTGATCTCCAGGAAATAAAGAAAGAAAAAAACATGAATTAATATTAGGTAGCAAGAGAAAGCGACTTGAGCTAACACCAGATCTATTTTAAGAATATCAAAGAGATACAACATTATTTCTCTCTCTCCTTTTCATTAATAACAAGAGGAATGCTTAGATGTAGTTGTAATCTACAGCTCGGAACGCAAGCCTGACGTTACCTTCTCTGCTCAGTGAACACAATCCACACACCCAACAAACAATCGTTTTGCAAGTTTGAAACCAGCCCTGGGAGAAACACTTTCTCTCGTGTCAACTGGATTCCCTGATTATCGCCTCCACTGCCAAGCCTGTTTCCCAGCGGAAGCGGATTTGGAAATGAGAATTTGCAGGTGTGAAGAAAGAAACCAGATAAAAGAAAAGTTTGTTCCGCGGTGCCGACTCTCACACAAGAGAACAGCAACGATCGGGGCTATGCGCTCAGATCGAGCCCCAATTTGCAAGCCACAGGAACTTACCTGGGTGGCCATCTTGCCGTAATCGATCCATCGCAGGGTGGCAAAATTGGTGGATTCTGCACAGTTGAATCCGTGGTTGAACCCGGCGTGGTAGCCATAAGGAAAAGTAATCATGAATTCACCGGCTTCCTGGGTGATCTGAAAAGAGAGAAGGGAGAAATTTACGTTCCAAGAAGGCAGGAAGCAACGAGAACGAAATTAAATTTTCAGTGACCCGGCTTTCAAAGAGCAGCATTCAATTTATACAAGAGAAATCCACAATATAAACAAATTATCTGTGTACACAAGACATACAGGCAAGACTCGTGTTGATGTGTAAGGAGTGCTTTGTGTATCTTCCCTATCGCCTACGTATCTTAGCAGAACACAGGATGGCAGAGTTCAAAGGGACCTTAGAGGTCTTCTAGTCCATACTCTCACCCAAGCAGGAGACCCTATAGCATTTCAGACAAACGACTGTCCCATCTCTCCTTAAAAGCCTCCAGTGTTGGGAGTACCCAAACCTTCTGAAGGTAAGTTGTTCCATTGATTAATTGTTCTCACTGTCCGGAAATTTCTCCGTAATTCCAGGTTGGGTCTCTCCTGGATACGTTTCCAAGCAAACTTGGCTAACAGGATTATGGAAACCACCGGACCACCGCAAGGCGCTCGATGTGGGGCTGCCCTTGAAGACCATTTAGAAACTTTAGAAACCATTTAGAAAGTTGAAGTTTCTAAATGGCCTTTAGAAACTTCAACTGGTGCAAAAGGCAGCAGGACAGGGAGTACGGTAAATGGTGCCAGTTATTCGGTGCGTGTAACATCTCTACTCTGTGAGCTGCACGGGTGGCCAGTGGGCTACTGAGTTCAATTCAAGATGTGGGTTGTCAGCTTCAAAGCCCTTCCTGGCTTGAGTCCGGGTTACTTGAAGCCCTGCCTCTCCCAGATTGTTCCGATCTGTTTGATCAAGTGCAATTGTGATCTCCTCATTGCTGCCCCTTAAGAAAAGGTGCAGGGAGCACAGCCAAGGGCTTTGGTCCTGAAATGGGTTTGCTCAGTTGCAGTTACCACAGCAAACAAGCTAAGCTCCCTCCAGAGACCCCCAGCCCATCTCTGAGCGGGCGGGAAAAGACTTACAACCACTCGAAGTTACAACAACACTGACAAAAGTGGCTGTTAGGAATAACAAGGTTACCTAACGTAGTTTGGGTAAAATAATATATATAAAGTATTATTGTAAGTTTAAGTGTGTGTCACTTTAAACTGCAAAGCATGTAATTTTGGGTGAGGTTGTGAACCGCCATAACAGGGAGCAAGAGAACCTGATGATTGCTGACGACTGCTGGTTTGATGGATTGCTGGTTTGCTAACTGCGTGTTTCCTACTGCTGAGTTGCTGAGTTGAAGGAAGAAAGGAGGTTTGACTTCTTCATATCTCTACTGTGAGGAGATATATTACTGGACTGATATTTGTAAGTTTACTGACCTCTCTTTTTCGACACTGGACTTTGCAACTGTATAATCCCTGGATAGACTGAATTAGTGAATGATATATGGACTGTTTTGACTATACTATAACTATTACTGGAATAAACTATTTAACTAGCACAGTGTATCTGTTTTACTGAGTGTAAGCTACAAAAAAACCCGTTTATCTCACATATTTTGCCTGCCTGCCTGACTGCCGTGGAGATTCTGCTAGGGTGTATCCTTAACAGTGGCTTACAACCGTTTTCCAGACTTACGACTAATGTGGCATCCCCACGGTCAGCTTATCGAAGTTCAGACGCTTGGCCAATGATTCATATTTATGACGACGGCCGTGTCCCTGAGTCACGTGATCACCATTTGCGACCTTCTGACAAGCCGAGTCAACAGGGCAAGCCCGACTTACTTAACAACCATCTGACTAGCTTAACGTCTCCAGGGATTCAGTGAACAATTTGCGGCGAGAAAGGTTATAATGTGGGGCAACGCTCACTGAACTGCCGTGCTTAGCAATGGAAACTTTGGGCTCAATTGTGGTTGTAAATCGAGGACGACTTGTCCTCCATCACTTCACTCTAAAAACGCAAGGCCCATTTTAAACTGTTAGGAAAAAAAAAGACTGCAGAGACCTCAACCACCAAGTAGCAAATCCAGTTACCATTAAGCGAGAAGCAACCTAGAACTAAGGAGGAATTTCCTGACAGTTAGAACAATTAATCAGTGGGTGCTTCAACACTAGAGGTTTCCAAAAAGAGACTGCACGACCATCTGTCCAAAATGGTATAGGATTTCCTGCTTGAGCAGGGGGTTGGACTAGAAGACCTCCAAGGTCCCTTCCTACTCTGTTATTCTGTATAAGTTCAGAAGAGAAGGACCAGGGGTGACAGGATAGCAGTCTTCCAATATCTCAGGGGCTGCCCCAAAGAAGGGGGAGTCAAGCTATTCTCCAAGGCACCAGAAGGCAAGACAAAGAAGCAATAAGGATGGAAAGTAATCAAGGAGAGACCCAACCTATAACTAAGGAGGAATTTCCTGACAGTCAGAACAATTAACTGCTCTTAACAAGGAACAACTTGCCTCCAGAAGTTGTGGGTGTTTCATCACTTGAGGTTTTTAAGAAGAGACTGGACTGCCATCTGTCTAAAATGGTATTGGCTTCCCTGCTTGAGCAGGGGGTTGGACTAGAAGACCTCCAAGGTCCCTTCCAACTCTGCTATCCTGTTTTAATCCACCCAATACCCAAGCCCACATAAACCTCTTTTGATTCACCGATATATGAAGCCAACGACTGGCTAAGGTATGTACTGAAGGAAGCTAAGGGAGAGGAGCAGACAGGAGACTATCAACCCAACATTAAAGAGAATGGAACAGGCAGGTTTCTGTAAGCTTTGATTTTCAACTTCCTTATCAGAGAATGAATTTATCTCTGCTGCTAGTGCTTTGAGTAAAATCCTAGGCATGCACACTCCAAATGCTGCTAACAAGCTCTACACAGAACTGAGCTGCAGCAAATTCAAAATTTATCTGTGGGAAAAAGGCGATCGAGAAAGTAGACAAGCATTATAGCTTCAATCACATATAAAGTCCTGTACATCAATACACTCTTCTTTTAGATTTCTTTATACATTCCTCTCTTTCTCCCAAACATTTCCCCTCTCTTTGTTTGGATTTACTCATGGGAGGGGTCTAAATCCAAAATACCAAAGAGGAAATCAAGACTGAGACAAATATCCCCAGAACGAGATGAAAGAGAAAGGATGTCAAAAACCAAGGCGCCATTTACAACGACACTAAATTCACACATCATTTGAGAGCGGAAACCCATTTTTCTCATCACTGTAAATGTCACTGGATCGGAAATATATGGGAAAATGGGATTCTTATTTATTATGAGACTAGGCAAGCAAGGTTTAAAATATTTAGCTTTGCAGACATTTTCAAGAATAAACAAATTTCTCATTAAATTCTGTAGACTGAAGTGGAGGACATACAAAGTTAGCATAACATAGAAATGAATGAACGAACAAATGAAAGAGAAAAGAAAAGAGAAAGAAAAAAGGAAGGAAGGAAGGAAGGAAGGAAGGAAGGAAGGAAGGAAGGAGGCTTTTCAAAATTCCCTTGCAAAAATGGGAATACCTTTGAGCTAATGCTTGTTCAATTTATCTATATGCAAGGTCCTCGATTTACAACTATTCACTTAGTGACCATTCAAAGTTACAATGGCATTGAAAAAAGGGACTTATGACCATTTTTCACAGTTATGACCTTCGTAGCATCCTCATGGTCACCTGACCAAAATTCAAATACTTGGCAACTGAGTGATATTTATGACGGCTGCAATGTCTCCTCGGGGTCATGTGATCCCCTTTTACAACCTTCTGACAAGCAGAGTCAATGGGGAAGCCAGATTCACTTAACAAACGTGTTACTCACTTAACAAGTGCAGTGATTCACTTAACAACTGGGGCAAGAAAGTTTGTAAAGTGGGTCAAAACTCACTTAACAAATGTCTTGCTTAGCAGCAGGGAGTTTGGGTTCAATTGTGGTTGTAAGGCGAGGACGACCTGTATACATACACAAATCTTATGCATGGATGGATAAATATATAAGAAGCATTATATATGACATTAAACACGTGTGATCTAGGAAAGCGTTGTGTGTGCTTGGATACCGACAATGCTATTTGTTGGATGACAACCTGAATAATTCTACAGCAAGACAAGATTTCATGATGAAAGAAAGCCAATGGATCTGAAAATTATGGTATCAAAAAGTAATCTTTTGCAATGATGAAAAGCTAAAGCCAGCAGATGAATATTTCATTGTAGGATGTTCACTAAAGATGAGGAAACGAAATACATAAATTTTCAGATGTATGCTGACCAAAAAGTAGCAATAGTTGTGAAAAAAGAAAGTTTACTGAATGAAGCAAAACTGGTTATGTATTAAGAGCAGGGGTGTCCAAACTTGGCTCCTTTAAGACTTGCGGACTTCAACTCTCAGGACTTCCTGGGGGATTCTGGGAGATGAGGTCTACAAGTCTTAAAGTGGCCAAGGTTGGACACCCCTGAGTCACACCACTGTTAAAGACAATCATACCAATGCTTATCTTCATCACAAGCCCCAGAACGGATCTGTTCTAAAGCCATTCCTGTCAACCATGTCCCACCGATAAATTAGAAAAATGCTCCAGCTGATGGGAGAGACCAGCATTAACTAAAGCCAACACCCACTGCCTCTCGCAATGAAAGGCAATTTACTGACTTCTGCAAAGGCTTCTCAGGCTAAATGGAGAAATTGACAGGCGATCACAGAAATATACATTTTTAATTATTAAAAAGCTGGACTATTGATCCGGGTTCTTTGTAGGAGTAAATACTCTTTTATTTATACAGATTTATAAATACCCGGGTATTTGTCCTGTTTAAAGTTTGCCAGGAAGTTCTACAAACGGATTTTCCAGATGGCATTTTGCAAGGAAAGATAAAAACTTACTTACTCTCCTTCGATTGGAAAAGGGCGTTGATACACCCGTTCTCTGTGAGCTGTGAAGAGCATCCCGAAGTGGGAGGTGCTTCAGTCTCTTCTGGAAAGGGCTGGGCTTAAAACTCCGGGACGCTCCTCCTCCTCCACGGGACACCTCCTCAGCGTCCCCCAGTTTTGCGAAGACTG